CTAGGTCCCTTCCGACCCTAAATCTATGAAACTATGAAGTGGGATTTAACTGCCCCCCCAGCCCCAGCCCCCAGCCAGGGTTTGTTTGGGGTGGGGGGAGAGGGGAAGGAAATCCCTTCTCTGCTAGAGCAGACAGCACAGTCCAGCCCAGGGCTGGAAAGCATTTTGGGATGCTGGCGGGCTCTGATTTAACTTAAACCAGGAAGGGCTGGGACAGAAGTTTCATAAACCAGTTTGACCCAAATCAGTTAAGTCTGATACTACATTCAGCCAGGTTTATCTTAAACCAGTTTCAGCCATTTTGAAACTGGTCTATGTACACTGAACTTCTATTTTGTTACAGGTTTAAACCAGTTTCTGATGACTTAAAACAGTTTGTGTAACTTCTGTCCCCAGCCCATATGATGGGGAATCTATCACATCCCTTAGGGAAATGCTTTAACATTATTTCTCTTCACTATAAAAATCATGTGCCTTACCTCTAGTCTGAAACTATCTAGCTTCAGCCTCCAGCCATTAGATTTCATATGCCTGTCTTCCCTTTTCATGGTGATCACTATGGGTGACTGGTGCCTCCTGAATCCGGGGGGAAGTGGGGGTTCCCCCATGGCTCCAACAGGGGAGGTGGGGGTTCCCCCATGGCTGATCACCAAGCCAGTAGTGAAACCGTAAGTGCACTTCCTACTACGCATTGCCAATGATGATCACCTCTGAACGTTTAAAGTTTGAGGGAGTTTTTTTTGTTGTACTGTTTTGTTTTCCTCCAGACTTTCATTATTTTGTGTCCCAATAACTGCAACTTCCTTTTCTCTGCTCTTGACAATCTTTCCCTATTCAAATCCTTTTAAAATGCTACTGCAAAGTTAATTTTCTTAGATCACCCCTGTGATCATAATACTCTCCTATTATCCCTTCACTGACCCCCTTCTACTCTTTCATATGAATCATAAACAGTTTGCTTTCACTTTCAGGGACATTCATGGCTGGTTTCCAACCTATCTATTTTCTCTCATTTAGTATGGAGACATCAACTAGAGCTAAACTGTTCTCAGTGATGGCAGATGACAGAACAAGGAACAATGGTCTCAAGTTGCAGCAAGGGAAGTTGAGGTTGGATATTGGAAAAAACTCTCTCACTTGGAGGGTAGCAAAGCACTGGAACAGGTTGCCTAGAGAGGTGGTGGAATCTCCTTTCTTGGAGGTTTTTAAGGCCTAGCTTGACAAAGCCTTGACTGGGAGGATCTAACTGGGGATGGTCCTGCTTTGAGCATAGGGTTGATGTGGTCCCTTCCAACCTGAAGTCCCTTCCAACCCTACTTTTCTGATTCTAACTGTCATCTTCAATCAGCCCACGATGCTAGTCTCCATGGCACACTCATCAAAATTTTCAAAATAGCACTTTCGTGCTTTCTTCCATGTTGCCCCTCATGTGAAGGAATAGCTCTCCATAGCATCCTCAAAACCTCTTCACTGTTCTATTTCAAATCTGTCCCCTGACAATGTCTACAAAAATATTACAGACTATTGGTATGTATGACCACTACCTGTCACACTGACGGATACTATCTCCTTGTTTCCCATCAGTCTTTTTTTTCACTTGTTGCCTTACGTCTTAGATTACTTAGGTTACAAACTCACACAGTCAAGGAGTAAGTGAGGGGGAAGGTACTCATTATACCAAAAATGTTAGCATAATGGAGCCCCATAATTAGAGCTTCCAGGTTCTGTGGTAATACAAGACATTTGGTGGACTGGAATATAGATTTAAGTTTTTGTCATGCTTTACTATTGATTGTAGCAATTGAAGGTCCATTCCTGTGTGCCAAACGGAATTTAATACTCTTTCTAAGTAAGTCTTTTTTTTTTGGTTTCTTTTGATGTAATTAATTATGGGAATTAGCATTCCCATAATGTAGCTACAGTTGTGATTTAATTCTCAAGGAGAAGTCCACTGTGACTTCCATATATGCTATTGATGTTGGTCAGATATTGCATTTTTCTTTGAATGAAGATACTACAGAATACCAGTTGATATTGCTGCTAAAATTCCTTAAAAGTTTTGGGATGATTGTTTTGGTTGTGAGACTATATGGATTACATATACTGATGTTTTTGTTTGTTTGTTGAAAGGAGATAATGGCTGAAGAAGAATCAGAAGTGAAGCTGTGAAGTGAATGGGTGGAAAAAGCTTGAGGCAGAAGGTGAAGCAGCCAGCACAAGTGAAGATGGCGTCTCTGAAATGGAAGCAAAAGAAACCGAACAAATGGTGGCAATGTTTAATGGGTAACTACAGTGTGGCAGACTCCCTGGGACTGAGGTGGACTTCTGGAGGCAACAGAAGCATGGACCATCTTGAGTACTTGTTTCTATTGGGAAGCACGCTGGTAAAGGTATGGACTGTGGTTTGTCATCTGCTTCTTCTCTAGCTGGAACGAAACATGAGAGAGGTTTCCTATCCTGGGCACTTCTTTTGCCATTTTCCATTACACTTCTCACTTGACGCCCTACTTTGGAAAAACAGAAGCTGGCCAGATGGGTGTCCATGTTACGCTGAATTGCAGTCAGACTGCCTCATGATACTGAATGAGACTTAGCCAGCTTAGCCAAATCCTCAGTTCTGTGGAAAGGAAACATTCGTTATAAGCCTACACCAAACTGAGTACTTTATTCTGTTGGCTGCTAAGCGCTGTGGCGTGCCTTTTCATAATGGTAAAAGCTATGACTGGCTTGTCTGTGCAGGGTAAGCCATTGGCCGCCTCTGAAACGTGATGGCTTGGTTGTATCATGCAATCCCCTTTTGCTTGGGGTTTCTCCAAAGTCGAAGGCATCTCCAACCACAGGCCCCCTTTCCCAAGGCACGGGATGCGCATGTCTGTCCCACTAATTCATGAAAAACTAAACATGCTGGGTGCTTATGGATGTCCCCATCTATCTCGCCATGACGGCTTAAAACAATCGGAGAGCCTAGATGTCTCCATGGGTGCAAGCCAGTCGTCCAGCCACAAGGCCCTGGCTACACCCTACCTCATCCTTTCCAACCTACCAGGCTGCTAAACAAGATGGTGGCCTCTGTGAAGCCACAGCTTCACTTCCATGTCCCCCCAGGCCCTGGCAACATCGGTCCCTCTACTGCACATGCGCAGCGAATGCTAACAGCAGGTGCCACGCCCTT